AGGATTTCAGAGACACTTGAGTTCATGAATCACCCCAGTTCTTCCTCTACCCCTAAATCTACAGTTAAGTGAATACATGTAATATGAAATATCAAAATAATTAAGTTTATTCCCTGTAAATATGAAGGTCTAAATGTTGTTTTCAAAGTACATTTTTGGTGGCTCAGATATAATCTTATGTAAAAGCAGAACAAGGAAGGCTCTGTTAAGCATAATGTAACTCAATGCGACCTCTGTTAAAGTTAGCTGTTAGCTCTGTCATGTAGCCACGCAGGATTGTGCCACCCACCGGTGTCTGACAGCTAATGTTAAGGGATTAGCGAGTAGAAAGCATTATTGCCGATTGCATACCAAAGGTAACTCCTCATTCCAACTTCAGGAAAGAGCCATTCCTCTTCCATTGCAGCGCTTTCAAAGTGTGCAACAGGAATAAATACAATCTGGGCATCCAACAAAAGTTCAAACGCACTGTGCAGCGCTGCCTCACTCCAATAGAAAATAATGCAATCAAACGGATTTTGAAGGTGACACCCGCTCGCGTCACATCCAGTTAGGACACAGACGCCGTATTGACATTGAGACACACAGTCTGATTCTCAATAGATACCTGATTACACTTGGTGGTCACACAGGGGGCCACCTAAAGGGGATATTTGGTGGCCACAGGTTATTGTGGCCACGGGCCATGATTAATGGTCCAATCCACTTGCGCGGCATAACCTTAACCTTCCTGGAGGATAGGGCAAGATAGTTGAATTGCCTTCCCAAAACAAACACATTATTTTAAATTCCCTTGAATGAAGAAAAAAAGAGTATCTCAGCCTCCACATGTCACTGACACTGTATACTGTACAACCTGATGGTTATCCATGAATACATTTTGCCAGAACTGACCTTTCCCATGTCCACACAGCCTCAGTATGCGTGTTAACAGGGTCAACGGCATCACAAGTCACAGATGATGGATGACTAAGAACATCCTCTCGTATTCACTGCAGCACCAGGTCACAGGGTTGATGTTGGCACAGGCTCTTAGACTTCACATTGGCCCTGGCACTTTCACTGCTGCAGGTCTAGTAGAGTGGATCACACCGATAATCAGCCCAGAGTGGATTTGCTACGACAAGCATGACTCTAATGTTAGACTGTAGCCCTGAGGCACTCGTCTTTCTCAGTTCTCCAAGAGAAGGTTTAAAGCTGGAACCTCACTTTAAATAAATAGAGGGTTTAAATTAGTTAGAATTTTTTTGAGGTAGGCCTATATAATTTATACAATACTATAGTCAAATACATCTATATATGTGATTTAAAGGTAGCTTTACCACACCAAATTGCTTGAATCTCAATTGAATCAAAAGCTGGGATGGCAGTTATTGCACCTTCATGTTGGCTTTGTAAGGGCAGCTCAGATTCTTATTTTTGTAGAATACAATTACAAATTACATTTCTGACATTCAGAGATTCATGCTTTTTATTTCTTATTTACACCTGTGATTACATAAGCAGTAGAGTCACCAGCTGCTGGCAGCAGAATGAAGTGAGACTTTAGTGGTACTGAGTAATTTAGAAAATTATATAATTCTGGTGTAATGCATGACAGAAAACATCCTGGGTTGCTGCTGTTAATTATTGTTATATAATTCAGTCAATGTCTGGATAATATATTTTTTAAATCGCTTGACTCAAGTGCCATACTCACAATGTCAAGGGCCTCCGTTGTGGGAAAACAACAATGCTCAAAGCCTTTGGCAAAGTGCGGTTGGCATAAAAATGAATGCCATGTCCGGCTGATTACCTGTTGCCCTGCTGCAATTTCATTGGTTATTTGCTAAGTCCTGTTGTCGTCATTTGCTCGAAGTTTACAGAAGTTACAGTATTTCCGAAAGGTTGGCAGATCCCTGATGGCTCTTTGAACAGAGCTCTTCTACCAATTTTTATTATTAATGCAATGTAATTAACTAATATCTAAGAGAATACAACAACACAAATTATGACCACTCCTTTAACAGATCACAAAGACCAAGAGTCCTGTGATTCACCATTGACTCTACAAGAGATTGATTCCATCAATATCCTTAATTAATCTCCTGGGGTGGGGTGGATTACATCACAATTTAATAGAGCGTTTGGGGAACATTTGGTCCCATTTTTTATGAATTTTTTCTCAGAAAATAGTGGATTAAAATTTCTATTGGTGTGCAATTATAATATTGAAAATATTCCCAGTTGTGTTTCTAACTTCCACAAACAGGCGCAGCTTGCATGGTCTATGATATTCAAGCACTGCCATTCGATATGGAACAATAGATATACTTTACAAAGAAAGATCCATATTTTTCAAGGAATGGTTCAAAAATCCCACTGTTTGGGTGAATCAATTATTCAAACGTTATGGTATTTTATTTATTTATAAGCAATTTCTTCAACAATATCAGATATCTGTAACTCCTAAACAGTTTGCCAACGTTTGCCATTTGATGCTGTCCTATCTGGTGTGTCTGTGCTAAAAACAAAAAAAGCTATTAAAACAGTGAAACTGTGCTTCCAATTTAATTTATGTTGACCCTTGGCATTTTATATATTATTAGATTCATAGATTAAACACCTCTGTGCCCACCAGGGACGTTGTTATGAACCAAACCGCTGGTAGGAATGGTTTTCCATGAAAAAAACTGCTAATTCTACTGCTAGCTTGTAAGAGAAGATGCTTCTTCTGCAGTGTGTACAGAGGGGATGGTGGATGGTACATGGTCAAGAATAAACTTTCAGGATCTCAAGGTTCAGAGTGGATTACCAAGCATGAATCTGCAGTAAATTTGGGCTTGTTGCAAAGCTAACATAGCTAACATTACCCAAACGGACATGGCATACAAACATAGAAATTGAGCAATGTAAAAAAAATGTTATAATAGCAAATTGAAGAGAACAGGTGTGTGCCAAGTGGGATTTTAACCTGTGTTAAACTGTTTGTGGAAAAGGGAAATAGTGCATGATATCAAATAGTAATATTGTGTCATCTTCAGGTTTGACATCTGTCTAAAGTAGTTAAATGTTACTGCACACATAGATGCTGTAATGGCTATATTGCAGCTGTAACAGCAGAGGTGTCTTTTGCTGTGCCCGACTCTGCCAGCCAGGCACACCTAGCCTCTGTCCCTAATGAGATAACCCCTTCTGACAGATTGCAAGTACCACTTTCCCTCTGTTGCATAATTTAAACTGACCCCTCTAATTGGACAATGATTCAAGTCATCAGCCGGCGGGAGAAGGTCAAGCTTGTCTGAGCAAAATTCCTGGTTAAGATTGACAAGGATTTGTTTATCATGGGAGAAATATCAAAGGGACTCATGAATATACAGTGAATCAGAGAATATATTATTAATCTACAAGAGTCAGCTACACGATTAGGCTGCTTTTATGCATATATGATGCTAAAATTCAACAAGGCTGTTGCATTAGTGTCATCTTATTTTAGACTTAAACTTCATAATAATGCTTCGGGGTGAATGTCAAAGTTATTCTTAATCCTCACCCTGAGCCAAAAATCTTTGACTTAAGCTTGACCACGACCTGATCTGTGACACTGACCCTAATGCTGAAGGATTTGGTTCAGGGTCACCTACTGGAAGGGTCGGGTTTGATTATTTGAAAATGTCAAGGTCTTGCATGGAACAAAAGCTTTAGAGATAATATTTTGATCACCCCTTTTTAATTGCAACTGAAATGAATGTCCAAAATGAAATGTGTTTTTGTTTTTTGTTTTTACTGACAGCCATTTTGCTTCATGAATGCAAAGTTAGAGGTGCTGTATGGAGTTTCTGACCATGAGTGGAGCTGTTCGTATTCAATCAACTTCAGAAGACAGTAAATACCCTGAAATCTGACCAGGCATTGGAGAGAGAGGTGAGCAAAATGTATCCTTCAGTAATCAACACAGTATTACACACAAATTAGATATTGAATATGAATATGTGAAATATAACTACATAATATGGAATTCAGTGTGTTTGTGTTGGTTTCTGGTTTTAAAGCTAAACTGTAGGGCATTGAGATTTATTTTATTTGAGTGTTCATTTATTATTATTACAAACAAGTTTTTTTCATATTAGACACGACAACTTCTGCAAAAACGGAATAATGCTACTTATTGTGTCACTACAATCATTAGTTAAAGGTTCAGATTACTGTGTCAGAAAACAGCCTGGGGGGATTATGTTGCTCTTGAAGAGGCTTATTTACTTCAGCAAATTGTTAACAACCAAACAAGGGCAGCTAATCCTCTACACAGAATGAGGCGGGGGTGGAGACAAACAACATGGAGCCTTCCGACCCTGATACACCATAACAGGAGAGGCCACACATGCTTCCACCGTCTCCACTCGCTTCTGTTAGCACAGCCATCCCCTTCAGCACCCAAACCTGCAGAGAGAAAGAGAGGACATGTAACGGAACAGAGACTATCCTGATCCTGCTTTCTTTTTCTTTCTTTCTGTGAAGCAACATTAAAGATGTCTTTGTATGGGACAAGTGGGCATCAAAAAGACACCTCAGGAGAAGGATCAAACGGGTGCATCTCCAACAGACAGCAAGCAGGAGGAAAGGAAGGGGCAGGCTTTACAGTAAGAAGAGAGGCCTGAACTTGGCTGCGCAGCTAGAGTAGGAATGAGGCATATTGTTTGACTGGCAGCTGGGTGAACAATACCGAACAAAACTGCAACCCTGACCTCACTTGGCACCCAAAATTGTTGGCCTGAGAGGCAGAATCTGCACTGAGAGAGAGAGAGAAGGGGAAGAGCTAGGCAGTCACTGGGATGTAGAGGTCGATAAGAACACACTAAAAGTGTTTAGGTGATTAAATTGGGGGCATCTCAGGGAAGTAGTTATCTGGTCTATGCTGCTGGCAGATCCCCAAGTTTGTTCAGCTGACAGATGAGGGTCCAGAAGGTGGTTAACAGGATGAGGCCAGGCGGCCACGTGGCCCCGCAGGGATTACAAGCAGCAAGAAGAAGGTAAAGGGATTAGACTCAAAACGGAGCCTGCTTTTTTAACCTCGTCACTGTTGTCACACTGACAGTGTACAAGGAAACTCTTGAGCCAAAACTCCATCCGTTCATCCGTCTGTCCTTCCTCTACCTCTCCTCGCTCCCTCCGCTCATCCACCCATGCAGCCACCTCAGCTGTCAACAGGGGTCCAGCAGCATCCAAAAACAGAACTGCTGCTGAAGGACTGAGCTGCAGCACAGATAGGAGTGGACTGGACACCCTCCTTTGGAACGTGCCAACAAGTTGAAGACCTTGTCAGCACAGATGAGGAGGCTCTTGCACACTCTGTTAATGGACTCAAGATAAAGAGATTGTGGATTATATTGTTGTTTGCAACAGTCTCTTTACAAATGACAACTTTGGGTTTGAAAACCACATAAATTAGCCCATCATGCTTTTGAAGTCAGGACTATTCTTCACTTTGTGTCTGTTTACCCTCCAAGCAAGTCGAATCAAAGGTAAGAATCCACTTGGGAGGCTGGTATTCCTGTTAACGCGGATGAGATTCTTCTTTCAGTAATTTAACTTTGTGTTATGATTGGAGAAAGAGATAGTAGTAGCATGTTTGCAAGTTGTAACTTTTTTTAAAATTACATTTTTAGCAAATACAGATGTAATTCTGTCAATGAAGTAGTCAGGCAATAATATATTTCTACAACACACCTGCCTCAGGAAGGACGGAACTTGGAAACCTGGAAAATAAAAAAACATTAACATTAAACCGTTAACATTACTTTATGTGTCGTTAATGGCAAATTATTCCTTGATGTGGAGACCTTCCTGCAGGTTTTCTATCAATGAGGTCTTGGATGAGACGGGACTTGAAGAGGTGGTTATTCACTTCAAGGGCAACAGTTAAAATAGTGTTTAACTCTGCTATATATCTTATTTATAGGATTTATTTATTTTTCTCTCTCTGCAAACAATAAAGGTTTACCTCATCGTCAGACAGATCTTTGATTTTTTTTTTTTTGAAAAATGTCAAGCACTGTTAAGCCACTTTTAAGGTCATGAATATTCACTATGAATTAAATGGGCATAGTCCTATAATAGAGAAAGATAGCATAATTTCACCAGTCATAGCAAATGCGTTCGCACTGGTTGTCTTGTTTTGTGTGATGTGCCCGGCTGAGCTCATTATCCTGAAGGAAACAAAAGCCATTCTGTTCCCAGTGTCGCAGGACGCTAATCTTTTCTGGCTTGTAATTCTGCTGTGAGGCCTTTTTGCGGCTGCACTGGGCATTAAAGTCCGCTCAAACACTCCCTCCTCTCACTCAGGCCCTCGTGTCTCTGCATGTGCAAGTCAGGCTTCAAGCTTACCGAATTCCAAAAAACCCATTTATATGTTGTCTTGCTGGTGTGACTAATAATGGAAACACGCATGATTTATTGGGCTAAATTTCCGACCACCTTCTGACCTGCTGAAATGTTTGGAATGGGGAGGTTTGTCAGGTGAATGGGTCTGCCTGTCAAACACTAAACTGGCCCACAAAGCTACAGGCGACAATGTCAATGCACGCAATCTTTCAATGTTCTTGGCGCTGAGCCAAATTTGGATTTGAGAAAAACATTATTGGTCATTGTAGAGGTTATTAGTAATACAGTGATTAACACCTTTTTTCTTTTCTTTTCTTGCTCTACCATTTATGTCACGCAAAATATCAATGAATGCCTGTGTATTTATCTAAATTCCAAGTTTAATTCTAATTCCTGAACAATGACGAGTAATACAGCAGGCATGCACAGTACTTCAGTTATGCTACACAACATATGGACGCAACAAAACACACCGATATGTGTAATGCAATGCAACAACCAACACGACCTGTGACCTGTGACCTACTGTATGTATATAATTTGCTGTAGGGTTGAACACACATCTCTGTCAGAGACACACTTTAAGCTTCATAAAGGTTGTTTGTTTGTCAGCCTCCACAGCTACTCCATCACAACACATATTCATGTCACAATGACATTATGGAAAGACAATGTTTCCTTGTTTCAGCATCGAGTTGTTGTATAATATAACATAGTCCAACAACACAAATAAAGACACGTTAAATCTGTTATTAAACTGTAGTAATCATCAAAATTATTATTTTAATGTCATGGTTATAATGGCTGTAAGTAATGATCACTTTCATTACTGGTAAATCACTTGATTATTTTGTGTTTGATTAGAATATAGTCTAATAAGCCCATACCATCGCTCAAGGTGATCTTTTTCTTTTTGTTTTGGACCAACAGTTGAAACATGTTTTACATCCAAATACACTATCAATATCTTGCAATACTACTGTACAGTGTATGTTAGTTAATGTTGCAGCTGGGCTAACGTGCTGTATTAGCTCGTACAAGTGTTCATGATATTGTGTCTTTCTGTATTGTTCTTCCTCTGCTTTTGGTCCAGTGTTCAGCCTGCTGGCCATGACTACCTCCAATAAGCACGACTTAATTAATGGCTGTTGAGAAGATGCATTAATAATGCATAAAGATTTCCCTCTTGTTTTGTTTATCTCCAGCTAAAAGCTCTGTGTCTGATGCCAATGTAATAGTGAATACATTAATTACACTCACTTGCTTTTTTATATTTTTCTTTTACCTTTATTCTCTTCCCTAATCCAGAGGAGGCACAGTCCATTGTTTGGTCCGATGACCCTGAGTCTCTGTTTTGGGCTCATAAATCCTGGCTTATTGTCTTAGAAAGTCCTCTGAGGTTTGCCATTTGGCATCACAATGAGTCCCTTTCTTCTAAAATAGCTTTATTCAATGGGGTGACTGTGAAAGAAAAAGTTGACTGGCACGCTGGCTTGTGGTGTGGAATTACTTCCTGTAATGCCAGGGTGGCTGAGCTTGTTTTCGTCACTAAGGTGATCAGAAAATTAGGGCATTTTTCCTCATAATGTCTGCAGCGTCAAAATGACATAATTGATGTGATTGTTAACCACTAAAATCACCATGGGTATCCGTCCGTAATTCGTTTTAATCTCAAGGTTTGCTGCACAAGCACATTTAAATTGTAATCCTCATGCGTGCATTTCTGCACATCCACACCTGGATGCTGCCCAGCAAAACTTCATCCGTTGGCCACTGAGCTTCAGTGATGCAACATGGGGCAAGTCGCCCAAGGGAATCTCGGCAATTGCTCCTTAGGGTGAAGAGAGAGTTACTCGTTTGCTTTCTCTACACATCTGTGCACTTTCATAGCCTTCAATATGACAACCTTCCAGTCACAAACCAGCTCCTCAAAGCTTCAGGCCCCAGACATTTTTACACTACAGTGAATTCAAAAGCTCAAGTAACAAATTGCACCTTTAAGGGGATTAACATCACATACAAAGGATTTGTTTCTGCTCAAATATCCCAAAATAGACTCTCAGGGACCCTCTGTGTATAATATACTTTTTACTGCAAAACGGAATGCTACTTATAGGCAGCAGCAGAGCACGCAGTAGTTAACTGACTGTAAGACGGCTGGAAAGATGCCAATGGGTAAATCGTCAAATTGAATGCTCCTCTGTGGTAGTTGGTGTTAACGGCCTGATTCCTGGATACACACCACAAGACTAGCACTGGTAGATATTTAAAGGGAACTCCAGCCATTTAGTATTACGCTTATATAAATAAAGAGGACGTGCAAGAGACAGATTTAAAAATGTTTGCAGCAGAGGCCAAATGGATTTTACAGCAAAGGAGGGCAGCTCGATTTCATGTTTCACTATACTTACTAATGCCCACGTCTCCACAACCAAGTCCATAAGACAAGTTTTATGTCAATATTTTAAAAGTCTCAAGCTCAATATGAGATGACATCACTTTGACATCTTCGGGGTTGTTGCCTTTTTCACAGAATGAGTACAACTCCCTGTAACAGTTAAACTGATGTGTGTGTGTGAAATTGGTGAAGTGCCCCTTTTTAAAACGACCCTTTGCTCTGCTGGTTACAGCGCAAACTAATACAGCGTATTTTGTTGACAGCAAATAATATTTGCAATTGTGGTTTAGCTTTCATCCATAAGGGCAAATGTCTCAAATGAGTGGCTACTTTTTAAGTTTGCATTATTTATCCAACAAGTAATTGAATTGTTAAGCTGTTAATATTGCAGTTTCCTAAAAAACTAACTTGTATCTCCTAATACAAACCAGTCACCTTGATTTAAAGTAATAATCTCAAAGATTGAAATGTTTTGAAATGTATATGTTTATTTTTATTGATTCCTTTATTTACCAGGGACAGTGCACATTAATTAACATTTCACGGTTCACCTTAATTTAAATGTGCCAGAGGTAGTTGGATACCTAATTTTCTTCTGTAGTCCCTGAGCCGGTTATTACAATTTAGAGGCCTAATAGCAGAACAATGCTACAGCAAACACTGGCGTACAGCACTGTACAGTACAATACAACAAAATACAATACATAAAAACATTACAAAAATAGCAGATTTGTAAAAACAATGAGAGTATTTAATGGCAGTGCCAGAGATGAAGTAGTATAATTACTTGTGATTGCAGGTTTGGTTTAAAGTCATCTTTTTAGTTTTTGTTTAAAGGTTAGGTAATTAATGCTCTCTCTTAATTCAATAGGGAGACTGTTTCAGTAGTGGGGGGCTCTGACTGAGAAGACTGTTTGCCCAAACTTGCTACATCTGTATAATACAACACAGTCGCTTCTGGTATTTGCCCTTGTTACCATGTAGAACCTTAAAGATGAGTGGAGCATCTGCAAAATGTTAAGTCACTATCTAGCAGAACGAGGTAACACAATGGGGATTGATGAAAGCCCTTGCCTTTGCAGTATTGCAAACTGCGACATGCCCAGGAAAAATTACAAGAGACGCATACACACATATGATACTGTTCGGGTCTCGGGTGAAATCCATGTTTTGTTTACTTAAACTTCATGTGCTGAATACTGTAAAAAATATTATATTTCTTCCCTGAACTTACAACTTCACTGACTGCTCTTGCAGACCTACATGACCACGGTTTTTCTGGACTCAGGGATGTGAAGTACCGACACTTTCTAGAAGCCTCCAGACCGATCAGACACACCACAAATGTCAGAGCAGAGCAGAACGGACACCGGACAAAGAGGTCGGCGCTCCTCAACACGGGGGTCAAAGTGTGTCCCCAGGAGACGATGAAAGCAGTCATCGGCAGCCATCGGGCATATTACAAGCTCAGAGGTAACCTGTTTGATGTGTAACTTTATGCAATATAATAACATCTTATGGTTCCCCAAAACATTTGACATAAACATTTTCAATGTATGTGCATAAGCATACATGAAGCTTAATATAGATGTTTGTTATTTGTCTTGTTTAGAGCCTGGTGACATTTACAAGATGCCGCTGAACGTTGCAGTTTTAGGGAAGCACTTGATTTGATGAAGTTATGCAAATAACTCCCTTTGTCCAAGAGAGATGAATTGTGGATGATTTAAGGGGAGAAGATTGCCACCTTGGCTGTTACAATGGCAAAGTAATACAAATTGTTCCACAACAGCTGCTGTGGCGTATGATTTTAAAATGAGGCAGATTAATTTGGTGTATTCGAGGTAATCGCTTCAATCCGGAAATGAGTTTGTCAGAGAATAAATTTCCCACAGGCATCATTCTATTTGACAATGTGCAGCGTGTTTCTCCCACAGAGGCAGATAAAACATATTAAAGCTGCAGGGGCTCTTTGTGCTCACGATTCTAATATTCACAAAATTGTCACGGACATGCAAAGATTAAAATGTACCGTTTGACATTTACTGAAACAGGCATTCCAACCTTTTTGTGCTGTCCCGATTATAAATTATAATGTTTTGTGCTGTGTATTCATATGTAAAGCTGCACTGAAATGTTTCCCTCAGGGGAACAATAATCTTAAATCGCTCAATCAAAGCAAACTCCCCACATGCAGAGACGCCAAGATCAATACCAGCGATCCTCTTTATCCTCAGTCATTTGATTTCACCATGCTGTAATTTCCATCCTTGTTGCAAATATATGTAATGCCCTGTCTAGTCATCCTTTATGTTTTTTTAAACATAAGATTAGGTGGTGTCTCATTTATACTTATTTCTCATATTTTCTGAGAAAAGTCAAAACAAAACATCCAAAAAAATGATGTGACATCTCTTCAGTTTGTCAGGAAGCGATATGGGAAGCGTTTCGGATCTTCTTGGACAGAGTCCCAAACTCAGAGGAATACAGTGCCTGGCTTTACACCTGCCAGCATGAGAACCTCTGCATGGACGACCTGGCCCAGAACTTCAGCAGCTCTCAGGAGCATCTGGACATGGTGGCCAAAGTGAGTCAAGCACCCGAACACGGCTACCTTCATTGACAAGTCGACTTTTATGGCCATATGTTCAGACTGCGATGTAGTTTTCTCGTCACTCTTAAGTGTAAATCAGTGATTTTTTGTTTCTTATTTCTAGAAAGTAGCCGAGCAAGCTGAAATGGAAGGGTATGTACAAACATCCTTTTCAAATTTTGTGTTAAATGTGAGTTTCCTCTGAACCAAAAATATGTTCATATGTAAAAATGTTTTGTATGGTTTTAACAATGCAAAGTGGCAAATGATTATCAGTGTTTTCATGTCCGGAGGCAATTAGGCATCAGAGGAGCTGTTAGCGCCTCTGCTAAAAATGTTCAAAGGATGTTCGAACCAACTAATCCTTGGCCACCCCAGCCAGAAAACTGAATATTTGAGATATTTGGCAAAAATAAATATTGGTTAAAAGTGTAAGGATTCCTGACTAACTCACAAATGTAGTTCAGCAAATATTGATAACTATCTAACTGAATTTGTCACAAAAACACTTTATTTCCAGAATCGCTGAAACCACCGAGGCAGGAAGGGATTGTGAGTTGAACACTAACGCACCAATATTGTTTAGTGAAAGCAATTCAATTACTTAATGAACTTAATATCTATCAATACATTATCATAACAACGTTATACATTTACTAATGGATCCCTGTTTTGTCTCAGGCACCTGGACACCCCCGCTGATTCTGCTACCGACGGAAGTTGAAGTGGTAAGTTAACCCACAAAGTTTCAGAATCATAATTTAAGGTTTTAAATATTTAACAATCCAAGCACATGCAAAATCAGGCAGCATTAGTCTAACAATACCATTTGGCGGTTCTTTTTCCAGATCGATGAAGACCACAACATGATAAAAGAGAACTATGAGGAGTACATTGTCGAGTTCAGAGTCACCATCGTGGATCCGACATACAGCAAGCTGCTCAGGAACCCAACAGCTCACCACAGTGACATCACACGAGAGCTCACAGACAAGGTGAGAGCAGAGTGTGAGTCTACAGACCCTAAATGTTAGCAGTCTGCCTTTTTTCTTCCTCTACAAGCACACAGTGCATTGTATAGTTTGTCCCCTGCGACCTGTTGGAGAAAAACCCTCCTTCTCTGTCCCGGCCTAAATTTCTCTTTCCCCTATTCTGTCCTTTCACAGCAGTTTTGTATCATTATGCAAGATGTCTTACAATGAGATCAATTTGACTTACAGCTTTTACGGCATTGTAATAAGTGTAAATCTCACCCTGATTGATTGTAGCATGTGTAAGGGACTTTAGTTAAGACTTCTAAATGACCACAAGCCTGAAATAGTAAGATCTAATCATGTAGATTATCTTTGACTAAGAAGGCATCGACTGAGACTCTAAACACAGCTGTTAAGAATCACTTCTACTGCTGTAAAACCATTAGTATATCATGTCTCTTTTTTTTTTTGAGGAACTAAATGTTGGTTGTACGAACTAAACAGTGCATCCACCACAAAAAGGCAAAACATTCCACCATGCATTGATGTTTTTTTTTCAATATGATCACAGAGAAATGTAAACGGTGTGCACTAATACTAATCAGGTTCAGGTTGAACTTCATTGCTTTATAACATGAGTATCTGCATTGAACTGTCATGGCTTTTACCAATTCTTAATATTTCTTACTCTGTGTACCTGTTGTCAGTTTGCCAGCCACTACACCCCCCCGCCCTGCAGTAGCCTTCAGTGTTTCAACCTTTAGCTATCACCTGACACCTTCGCACCCAGATGCACCTCTGTTCCCAATCCCCTAATTAGCTCCCTGGCGCATACTATAGAGGCCACTAGTCTTCACTTTCTGCTTGTTGTGACCATATGACTGCATTTTTGGGAAAGTGGAAGAATAGCATAACAACTCTCACATTTGAGACACTGGCATCAGGGAATGTTTGCCAATTTTCTTTAAATAATTAGCATTCATTTTCTGTCGATTACTAATTGATAGTCAACCATTTATGGCAGCATTGACAAAAAATGCTCCTGTGTCTTTTGCATCTCTTGTTTTTCTTTTCTTTAGATGTTTCGTGTGTTTGAAAACGTTCCAGGATTTAAAGAGATTCGTATTCTTGGATTTCGGTGGGTTTAGTTTTCTTAAAGTTTTTTTTAAAGGTTTGGCACTGTAATTTCCCTTTGTAATAATGATTGATTCTGACATTAAAGCACAGTAAAAAAAAGATTAGACACCAAAAATACATTTCTTTTACTTTTCCCCTGAAGTGACTTTAATTGAAACGTTTTATCATTAAGTCTCAGGAGAAACTATAACATCCCCAAAAATGTCCTCTATTGGGATATGACTCCATCCATTAGCAGTCAGGTCTGTCTGTTATGAGGGTTTATGACCTGATTTGTTGTGTTTATCAGCTCAGAGGATGTGTCTGTGCGTTACGCTGTGGTCTTTAATGGAGAAACAGAGCTGAATGATGAACCTGACGGTCTTGAGGAATCTGAGCATGACGAGGATGTAAATGCCCCTAAACTGAAGCAAATTATCGTAAAGGCCTTAAAACAGGAACTGTTACTGCCACTGGACATACAGACACTCAGCTTTGAGGCTGGTAAGTACAATATCACATTACTGAATAAAATGATAGGTTAATGCTCAGAATAAGATTTTAAAGCTGTATAAATGTTTTAACGCTTCCTTTGCAGTAACCACGGTGTATCCAGTTGCTGAGCTCGGCATGAATCCTGTCGAGAGTGCCGTGTCGGAGGAAGACACCACACAGGCACCGACAGCGGGCAATTCTCCCACCCAAAGTTTTCTCCCCACTGTGGCAGTGTTAGAAAACTCTTTGGAAGCTTATACAACCAAACCAGAAACACACACCTTCGTGCCTTTCATCCCAAACGTCGTCCCAGAAAGCACCCCTGCCGTGACTGATGAGACTCCTTTGATGTCATCAGCAGAGGAGGAATCCACAGAAGATGCTGCTGAGCAGCCCGGTGACATTATGAAACCAGACACAAAACTGGAAACCATCACAGAGCAGGAAGAGGAAGCAGGGCCAGAGGTGGGGGAGATACCACCAACTGAGTATGATGACGGACGTGAGGCTGAACCTGAAGGACCGCTGACAGACGGTAAGGCTACTTCAGGTTCAATGTTGTTTTAAAAACAGAATGCTGAAGTTGAATCAGGAGAGACACATTTACGAATTCAAAGCTTTATTGAGTAGCAAATCATTAGACTGAGGTTTGGACTCCATTTAGAGCCATTGACAGAAAACAGGAAGAACCTCATGATTCAACCACAACTTAGCCCACACTTTGCTGTCATACTCTGGTTTCTAAGTCTTGGTTCTTCTGAGAATCTGAAGAAAGTGGTGGGAGGATGCTGTTATTGTCTAGAGATACAGCATAAGGAACAGCTGATTGGGGTAATACAAAAAAACATCCCCAGGCTGGAAGGGTAAGAGGGAGAAGTACATTTTAATCTTAATTGTTGATGCCAAAGAAATGACTAATTGTCTGAATAGAAATCTCTAAAATACAAACAATCCAAGTTACTTATTGGGAATGGAGAAAGAAATATTAGATGAAAAACAATTACGAATTATATGTATCTTTCTGATTGAACTTAAACTATGCTGCTTTTTATTTTATTACCATTTAACAGCACTTTAATTGGTTAGTCTAGTGTTGATCCACACTGGGTGGTGAAGAAGTATCTCTTTTCTGTATGTCTATACATTACGTAACACAGCCCCATTTCTAACATTAACCCCAACCTGAGAGTAACTTTAACTGGATGGTGAATGTTAATCTTAATTTTACACTATCGCAAGCGTGAAACTCCACAGACCTTCTAGTGACACAGTAAAGTCACTTGATAGTGAATATCAGCCCTGGACTGTCCAAATACAGAGTGACCTATTTTTTACTTTTACTAACACATATAAGCACAGAACACTCGCCTCTCATGGGAAATGGAAATTGCAGTACAATTAGACTTGATGGTTTGGTTTTGCGCATGGAGATGCTCCCTGCTGAGGCAATACATCATATTAAAACCCATTAACAAGCAGCGGCCTGCTGGTGGTCGAGTCATTACAAACTCATTCTGTGCAGTCAAACTTTGTTCAAACCTGCAGAACTTCAACTGGAACTCTAGTGGTGTTTCCAGCGATACGAAATGTACCCGGTTTGTCAAGCTGAGTTTGGGGTAAAAGTCGAAACAAAGATTAGTGTAGCCTAATGTAGATCTGCAACTATACAGAAATACAAGGTTTAAACTAGACATGCAAAAAAAAAAGAAGCTGCACCTCATTCAAATGATGATTTAGAATTTGAATGCCATTGTTATGACTGACGCTTTAAACTATGGTACAGCTCTAGTAACATGATGCATGAGTGTCCCGCCTAAATGCAATAATACCTGCATATAATAATTAGTGTAACTGTATATTTCTTTCATACATAAAGCGACTCCTGGTCCTAAAACTTATTTTCTGATTGTTTTATTTTACAAGAACCTGAACCAGCTGATGGCGAACAGAATGAGGACCTTCCCTTAGCGACCCCCGACTCCCAACCAGAAGTAGTAATTACTGATACACCTGTTGAGGTTAACCTGGACCTGCCAGGGTCTGCAGATCCCACAGTTACTGAGGTATCTGTCATAGAAGCAAAAGTCCCAGTCTCTACAACGTCATCTCACGAGGATGTGTTCCAAGGCCTTGAACCAGAATCAGATGTGAGTGAGCCTTCGCCATCCTCTGTGGAGAGCGGCGAAGCCCCCGAGGACAGAGATGAGTCCAGTGGAGGGCACAGTGGAGCGGCCCCGGTCTCAACAGACTTGCCTCCTGAGAACCCAAACATTCAAGATGACATAGGGTCAACTCAGAACGGAGTGGAGGCGGAAGCGACCGAGCCTGTGGAAGAAGAGAGTGGTAGCGGATTCCCCTCAGAGTCTGACGAACGCCCGTACGAATCCACGGCTGCACCAGCTATGAGACAAGTCAGCAGCCCTCTGATGACCGCAGTGGATCAGGGCAAAGAGTTAGTGATTTTCTTTAGCTTGAGGGTCACTAACATGATGTTTTCTGATGGCCTGTTCAACAAGAGCTCCCCAGAGTATAAATCACTGGAGAATACCTTTCTTGAGCTGGTAGGTACACAAGCTTTTGTGTTGGATATCATGATTTTGCATGCTTCGTTGTCATATTTGCTTTTTTAACCCAACCTGAAATGTGTGATGAAAGTACATTTGTGTAATACTGTAAAACTTTCATTTTATATGCTATTTTAGTAGTACTAGTAGAGTATGAATATTTTACAGTAGCCCTAAGTTGGTGCTCAATCTAAATCTTGTTTTCCTGCGCAAGTGAGGATGCACTTTGCAACAAGCCTTATCCTCACATGTTTTAAATCTTAAAATGAACAGCAAATTATCATGAACTCATTTTTTTTTTTCTTGAACAGATTTTATTTTTTATGAAAGTCTTAAAAGTGTGATATGGCTATAAACCAATCGCCAAATTCTTCATCAAATCTGCAGTATGCTTATGATTTAATTTCAGAGGAGCCATTGTATCCGCATTATAAAGACATTATTCTGTTTCACTTAGACACAGCACTCTGGGTCCAGAAACTCGCCAAACCCTGGAGCTTCCAGTAAATCTGGGCCTGGGAGACAGAAGACTTTAGCCTCCATACCGGTATTTTTTTCCATATTGGAACTACATCTCCAATGCCTCAGAGAGAGCATGACCTTTCTATTTCTTAACTAACCTTTTTGAGATGCGGTTTCTAACAATCTGAAAGCACCTAACATTTCTGAAGTACTCAGCTTTAGTTTTAAGCTTTTGCTTTTGTCCTTACATTAGACATTAGACCTTCCTGTTGCAGCTACTCATGTCTATTGGTTTTTATCTGTGAGTCTGGTTCTAATGTTTGCAAGCTTGTTTTTGTGTGTTTTGCCTTAACCTTTTGAATTGTGCTAAACCTTTGGCTTTTTCAGGGACTCTTTTAGATTCAGTTTGACTCATATTTCAGCATGTCATTTTGTACAATTTGTGTCTGCTAGGGATTTGTCCAAAGTTCTGGACTATAAAATAAAAAGAAGCTTCTGCCATTAAGTGGAAATTTAAAGAGGTAAAAATGCAAAATGGAAGTAAAAGTAAAACCGATGAGAATATTGAAACAGCTCTCATATATATCTATTCAATATGTAGCTGGAGCCAGCAGCCGGTTAGCTAAACTGATCATAAAGATATGAAACAGGAGAAAACAGCTAGCATGGCTCTGTCCAAAGCGAACAAAGTCGACTTTCCAACAACTCTAAAGCTCTTTGTGCTCTCTGATAGTGTCGCTGTCAAATGTAAAATCACAAAACTTTGACTTTTGGCGGTGGATTGTGTTACCTTTGGACAAAGCTAAGCTAGCTGTTTCCCCCTGTTCCAGTCTTTATGCTAAGCTAAGCTAACTGGCTGCTGGCTATAGCCTTATATTTAAGTGGACACACATGAAAATTATATCAATCTTCTCATCTAACTCTTGGCAGAAACCAGATACATTTCCCAAAATGTCAAATAGTAAGCAAAACATCTTTGAACAGGCAAGCTCTCTGGTGAGATATACTATATAGACTGCTTGTTGACGTTGCTTTGCATCATAAGGTAGCATACACTCAATATCTATCAGTTGTGGGACTATGAGTGTATGTTTATGTGTACAGTGTAAGACTAGTTAGTTTCTCACTAACAATATCCAGAGTTTCATTTCGTACATTTGTTTCTCATATGTATGTTATGACATTGACCATCTGTGTTTGTGCATGTTTTGAAGCCTTAACGATACATTTGCAGAGTCAGTGAATGACTAGATGAATTAATGTGGAGCAGAATGATATGATAATATAGGCTTAGTAAACCTAACAGGAAAGTCATGCAGCTTTATGCATTTTGTGTTGGTAAAACTGTACTGCTTTGTACATGGTAGAGTGCAAACTAGCATAGGGTAATCTGAGTCATGAGACCCGGGTCTGCCTTAGTCATTGTAGGACTCAGAGGTTTGTGACTTGTGGTAAGAAGCTTTAAGTAATTGGTTAGTTCCAGCACCAGACACATTGTGCTATTAATGGCTCCAATCTGCTTAGTGTGACATCAGTCAGGTTACATCTGTATGCATGTTGCAGTAGAATTACTGTGATGGTTATTTGGTGTTAAAAACACAGACTATTTGTATGTACAATGAAATAAAATAGATTACACACTGGTGGAGGTCATTTAGTTTTCGAGCATTTGTGTGTAAATGCACATAATGTTTAATCATTGCTGGGATGTTCCCTTTTATACCATTTGTTATATTACTCCTTTTTCTCTAAATAAGTGGTGGTGGTTGAAGACTGTGCCTTATTGGCGTACTTCAAAGCAAGGATCATCATTTGGCATCCCTATTTAGTTTCAAGGCTTACCCCGAGGTTAAAGGAGGGGACATATTTTTAGGCCTGTGCCCTCGATCTGTGTTATGTAAAGGCCTCAGCCTCAAACTGAGAAGGTGCATCGATACAAATTGGATTGTGTGTTTGCTGCAATGCCAAGGAGCAGAGGGAACGTGAGCTCCTACATGTGGAATTAGTTTCTTGAGTTTCTTTGATATAGGGTTAAGATAAATAGTTAATAATGTGTTATATTTTGATAAATTCTCAATAAGTTTCTCTTATTTGGATATATGTTTTACAAGACTTGCAAAGTTCGTTATTCATGTTATGAATTTGATCTGTTTTGATTTCGTGCAGAATGCATCATTTTCCCTATTATCGTAAAAATAAATGTCTGCACATATCAGAGAGTCCAATATGAAGTAGTAGGGACACGCAGACAGAAATTGCATACAAAAATCCAAAACAATAATGAAAAAAACACTCCATCTCCAATCCTTTAATGGTTGCCCAAACCATGGTTACTGCAGCTTTCCTCAATAATCGATGTATTTAGCTTCCTGGCAAAACTAATGTGGTCAGACGTTTGAAGTGGTAAGTATTTACCGTCTAATATTCTCATCATCCCATTAGGAATAGTGAACATATCTTCCTTTAAATGGGCTAATTAGGCAGAGAAGGGACACTTTGAAACAAATATTTTAAACTGGTCTGAGTTGGCTCATAAATCAATGAAAGATAGCAGGAAGAATAATGAAGAAATGTCAAATAATATATATATTCCGCAGCCCATTTAAATGGACATAATGTAATGTTTTGCTGGATATCGGACCCCATATGTGATACTGTACATTCACTTTCTCTCAGTCTCATATATATGAATACATATATACAAACCATTAGCCTACAGCGGCTTGCAATTCCTCCTGTTTGCCTCCATTACTCCTGTACCTACTGGTTTGTAAAGCAACCAATAAAATTGGACATGGAGGTTGGAATTACTTTATTTGTTACGGTAAATCATTTTAAAAACATTTCCATGGCGCCATTATATTCTTTGTGACTTTTGTTTTTTTCAACATCAGAGAAGGGATGTTTGATCAGGTTTTCCAAAACAAGAACCAGTAGATACATGCGTAACCTCAGAGAAGCATATGTGGCTGTGTAGAAAACTGAAATTATGGTTGTGTTTTCTGTCATGCTGACTACATTATGTCTACTGTTCCTTAGTCCACAATACAGACTGCACTGAGGTTTGTTGTGAAGGAACTCGGCTTTGATCTTGAGTGGAAGGCAACAGGGCCAACCGTACAGATTGGTATCTAATCTACAGGGTACAAGTACTTGACATTTTGCATTGAGACAAATGGATGAGCAAATAGCAAGCTGTGTGCCTAGTTGTACTGCCCATTTGTTTGGTATTTTGGAACCTCGTACTTGCTCAGAGACTATTAACTATAGGGAACTAGCCCCCGGTAAACTGTCTGCCAGTGATAAGTGAAGTAACCCGATCAGAGCAGAACTCTTTCAGGCCTCTTATCTCCCGCTTGACAGCCAGGCCAGCTAGAGCGCCGTAATCTCTCCCTCTCACACTCTCGGCTGTTTGATGTTTGCCTCGTATGTAGTGAACGTGAAGTGGCTGGAAGGAGAGCGGTCCAGATCGATGAACATTGATGCGGGTCCATTACTTCAGCTGGTTGACTTCCTCCTGTCTAAATGTCACCACCGCCATCAGTCCGAGTCCATAGTCTTAAAAGATGGGTTTCCCGGTTATCTGAGTCAGTGGGAATATTTTTTAATGCAACAATGTGGAAAATGTAATATATGAGTTAAAATGTGGCTGCATAGATTTGATTTTACTGCACAGATGTTTTTTTAAACCAGGAGTTGGTGATGCTGTGTACTCTTACTGCCTTACAAAGGCAGAAGGCAACTACAGAAACTTAGCTTAACAGATATGTAAGATGTAAACCTTAATTCAATATCTTTTTGCCAATACATATAATATGTGATTAGAGGTAGTGATAGCTCAACCGTATTAATTCATGTTACTGGAGTCAGAGGCTGAAGAGTTATTGCAGTTATTGCTACTCTGCTAAGCTAGGCTAACTAACTTTTGGCAAGACTGGTTTATATTACTTACTTTACTGTTCGGTGCTTAAAATAAAAACTGAACATTATATATTTATTTGGATATGCGATAGCTTTAATGTCATGCGAGTCTTTTTTTTGGTGTCTAGTCTGTTCATTTGTTCTCGTGCTCTTCACCGACTAGAAATAGCATGTTCTGTGTTCTTCCACCAATGCTTATGAACCTAACCCTAATTTTGTTCTTGATCCAATTACACAGTCAGTGCAGTAATGGCAGGATTTCATGCTCGCATCAAAATTTAATTATGACCTATTCATAGCGTTCACACTGTAAAATGTGACCTGAATAATTCAAAAATCAGCTGTGCTACGGCAACCTCAATACTGTCAATGTGGAAGTAAAACTACAGGTAAATGTGGTCTCTGCTGTCCTGGTCTTCTTCTCAGGAGGACACCGATCTTTACTGACAATTGACACTGACATGAATCTGATATTTCATTAACCTAAATATCCAAGTGGGAATATTTGTCCTCTTAGGATTGAAAATGATTCCCTTTTCGCCCTGTAAGATAAAATCAATTTTGCTTTCCAGGTACGCTATCTTTACTCACTGATCATTAACTGCACAGAACGCTAATCTTTTAAAATGAGGAATTTCAGTACATCCTCTGAAAAATGTAAAGAGTATAGTTGAACAAAGAGATTAAATAAAAACATTAATTTGCTTTCCTCTATTTTCCCCACAGCTTCTGCCATATCTACAATCCAATTTGACTGGATTTAAGCAGCTGGAAGTTCTCAACTTCAGGAACGGCAGCGTTGTGGTAAACAGCAAGATGAAACTGGACAAGCCGGTACCTTATAATGTCACAGAAGCTGTTCACTGTGTGCTCGAAGACTTCTGCAACGCAGCTTCTAAACGTCTCGACATTGAGATCGACAGTCGCTCGTTGGAAGTGGAACAAGGTGAAATGTCCTCACATCAGAATCACTGTTTGGTACTATGTGATTGAAGGATGCAGACATCAGAAGAACAATACAGTAACATCTGTTCTCACAGTGACATGTTCAATCAAGCAACAAGGTCAGAGACGCGCATCCTCCCACTGCTGTCTTTTGCAGTCTGTAGGTGATGCGCAGCATAAATGCAAAGCACCTTTTTGCTTGGAAGAGTTCGCGACAGCATGTGAAGTCATTAAACCCATCGTATTGAAAGCAAACACCGTCATTCACATCAATCAAAATGCCCTCTACTTTCTGATCTGAGTCAGTGAGGGATAGGCGGACGCTGCACTAATATAATCACCTCTCTCCGGTCTCTCTCTCCTCTCTGTCGGTTTCAGCTGACCAAGCGGACCCCTGTAAGTTCCTGGCCTGCAACGAGTTTTCACGCTGCGTTGTAAACAGTTGGACCGAAGAGGCAGAGTGTTTGTGTGATCCAGGCTACAGCAGCTCGGACGGCCTGCCGTGTCAGAGCACCTGCGCTTTGCAGCCGGACTACTGCCTGAATGGAGGCCTGTGTGAAATAATCCCAGGGCACGGAACCACCTGCAGGTACACACAACATGACGAACATGACAGCACGATCTCGGCTTGTTTAAAAGTTCCACATTTTAACTGCAGAATGTACTAGGCTGCACCTATTTGCTAACCATTTCAAAAGCCTAGCTGAATCTTTACAAATTCATTTTCTGTTCGATAGATATTACTTTGCATTCATTTCACTATTGTAGCTTGCAACTATCTGAAAGCACAAACACTGACTGCATTGAAAACCCTTCTTTGATGCTTCGTTCAAGGATATTCAAGATTTGAGAGTTGATTCATGAAAATCATTGTATTCTCACATATAGAAGGTACACGTTGAGCAAATAGACAGGATTCATTTCTCACAATAATTATTGCTGTTCAGCAGTTCATAAATATTGGATATCTGACTTTTCGTGAATACACTAATAAGAATTAAACCGTGAGAACAACAATGTTTTTTACGAAAAAGCATCCAGAGAAAGTATTCAGTTATTTAGTTAGAAAAGTAATTTAATTTGAATTGGGAAGCTTGGAATTATGAAGAAAAACATCTGTGATCATTGAATTGTTTGGCAGTTTTATGTATATTTATGACCACATCGTGATGTATTTATTAAAGTTTCACTTTTTTCCTTGCAATCAAAGTGAAAAAGTACTCTTTACAGGGTGCTTCTCTCTGACCTGCATATGTTTTCGCATCTCTGTCAGATGTCCTGTAGGTAAATACTGGCACTACCACGGAGAACGCTGCAACGAGCTGGTGTTGATGCCAGTAGACCCTCCGCTAATTATGACCTGCCTGGTGGGATGCCTCTGCTTCATTTGTGCCATCATTGGCATTTTGATATTCATTAACAAGAAATGTATAAAGACCAGAAAGGCTGTGACTTTGGTGTAAGTACAAGCCCTTTTATTCTTCATATTTTGAACCGTTTTAGTTTCAGGCCGTTGCTTTTGCAGTGATTTTGTGATATTTTTGTATTGAACGCATTTTTATATTCACCACCTCATCTCCTTTACATTGTAGGCATACCCTTGCTCCCTATGCCTTTGAGAATACTTTGAGGGTGAACCCCGTGTTTGAGAATGATGATGGTGTCTTAACTCAAGTGTCCACATTGCCATACTCTTCAAGTTCTACTTCTTCCCAATCCCAACAGTCTGAACAAGAATATTTTGCCTCAATTGAAAATATACATCTGAGTATTGAGGTACACTGTGCTGTATGTGCACAAATGACTAAACTACTAACCTCAAACCTTTAAACTTCAGTAATATAAATTAATACGCTCTAAGACACTCTCAAAAGCTCGATTGGCTTGTTTTCCTTCCTCTCGTCTTCCATACGTTTCATCTTCGTATTGCATCTAGAACTTTACACTCACCATCAAAAACTATCTGATGCATCTTTTAGTGTTAAACACTGCTCAATATGGCTTTAATGGTAATTAAATCTGCTTAAATCTGCTAGTTCCATAAAGGCCTTGATACACAGAATCATACACATTGTCTTAATAACTTTAAAGTTGCACACTATCCTCGTCCTTGACGACGCTTTGTTTCCAAATCCAACGAAGGTGTACAGCTTTAACACTGAACTCTGCAGTAGCAGCTGTAGCTTTAATCTCCTGCGGTAGATCTCTCTTTCTGGCAGACACTTCTACTGCTTTTGTTCACATTGCCTCTGGTTCTATAATATATTAATGAAGCACGCTGTAAACACTGTCTACTCTCTGTCTCCACAGATCCCCAGACAACTCTACACAACAAGATCAGAAAAGTTAGTCTCAGAAATGGTGGACTTCCATCACTGTATACCACACAATGAGGTGAGGACTGAAAAGTAACATCTGATAGTTTTGTAGATTTAAAGATACGCTCGCCTCCAAATCCCAAAACATCCAACAAGAAAAGTTTAAGGGAGAACATGTGAGGACTTTTGGACGCTTTAATGAAACATATTCTGAAAATAGGACGATAAAGTAACTTCAGATACCTCGTACTTTAGACATTCAACATGCATTTTAAGTGTTGCTGATATTCAATAACAATAACCTTTACTTCAAATACTTTACAGCTCTATGATGCGTGCAAAGGTAAAACACCTATGCATGATGACCTTGCTGATATTTCACTTACAAACCAAATCAATGTTGACTTTTGAGCATTTAAATAATAGCTTTAACAAGATTATTGGAAAATGATCAAATATTAACCATGAGTGATTTCCATGTTCAGTGTTGATCAGTGCTTCTGCAATGAAAGATAATCCTTCTCTTCAGTTTAAGTAAATATTTGATTCATGCGAAGCAAATATCTTGAAGATATAGTTACGAGGATATTCTGTCATTTATTGTATAATTCCAACCAAAAAGCTATTTTTCAGTCTCTCTCTTGTCTCTTCTAGACATGGCGACCGCAAAATGAATACAGAACATGCTGTCTTTTAAGGGCACCGGATAACGAATGTTTTGAAGTCTCCGTTCTTTGATGGGACCTTGTTCGTCTGAGGAGCAGCTGACACAGTACCACAGTGCAAAACACGAGGTAGCAAAGACTGAAGTTGCTGTTTAACTATACATGGGACACTATGGTACGGTAGACGAGTCAAAAGGTGTTAAAAGTGTTGAGATTAATTGTTCATAGTGATCAAAGTGTCTTGTTAGACAGAGAGCTATGGATATTAAAGTGGAAACTAATATTTATTCTATATATTGAATGGTAGGAACATTTCCTGGATAGCCTTGGCAAAGGATGTTCTTTCCTCACAATGAGGTATTTATTATTTACAAACTGATACACATGGTGGTATCTTGAATTTAGACTGTAAAAACTGTATGTTACCATTGTTATGTCCAAAAAAGAGAATGAATGTATAGGCTGTTGACTTGGGTCATGAGACATTGTTCATAGAAATATTGGCTGCTGAGCTGTATTTATCAGTCTGTCCTATTCAAAACAATTCTTTCAACTAATCATTTGTGTTTTTTTTTTGTTTTTTTTTTGTTTTTACACATTTTGCATTTAAAAGCAAAATAAAATTTTTTTTGCATAAAAAAATGTTTTGTTGTTTTTTGTTGTCTGCCTCAAAGATGTTTGTGGTGACAAATTACAAGGAATTTATTGATGAACGACTGCAGTCAAATCAAGGTTTTCTTATGGTTCATCAGTGTTTTTATAATCATCGACCACTGTTTGTTGTTCATTTACCACAAAAGCAGAACAACCTAAAACACCTACAAAAGAGAACCCCTGTTTTAATCCACCTTAATGCGAGTGAGCCTCGACTCAGTGACGCCATCAACTGCACATTGGCCTTTGTTGAATTAATTTACAAACTAATGTTGTTAGCTGCCGTTACAAACAGGATGTCAGATCCGTTTACAGAGCACCGATTACCGAATGTACTCGTTCTCACTTGTCGGTTATCGATGGCAACTCGGTAAGAAAAAGCAATCGGGAACATGACGTCATACATTTATTTTCTACAGTATTCCAGTGACAACCAAGCAGATCTAATTTTGAAAGTGAATCATTAGTTACAGCCGGCTACTGAATCTTTCAGTGAATAAGTGAACCAACTGTAAATACAGGTATAGCATGATTGGTCAACGAGATGACTGAACTGTTCATCATCGAACCAACACAAGAGTCAAGTAATCAGCTTAATAAAATAATATATGAATAAACACACACACACACAAATTCCATTATTGTCTGTAAAACAACCCCAAACCAACAGAACTGCAAACATGCAAACTAACTTCTACATTTCCCCTCTTGCGTAACAAATGAACAATACAAAAAAAGATTACATTTTCAGAGTTTTATACATATATATCCATATAATAGATGGATAAAAAGACGAAACTTCTAAGATGGTAATAAACCCAGAACTTCTCTAAATGAATTTGTCTTTCTTAAAAAATATATTTTATGAATATATGGAATATTTTGTGTGCTTTCATGAAAAAGTCATGCAAATGTATCATTGACATGATTGTCTTTTTTCCTGTTATGAGTCAAACTTGCAGTAGATGGAGAACTGAAATATAATAACTTGTATACTTGAAATACAGTATAACAGTAATTAGAGCGTCAATATCCAGAATACAATAAAGGATGACGCGATTAAATCCACATACTTTCTCAAAAATCTAATCTAATCTAATTTATTGTCCCAATTCAGATCATTAAGGTTTCCGGTTAATAGCTAGATAAGCTAATTAAGACTTCCTGGGTGTAGTGCTGCAATATTACAATTTAAGGCCTCACAGTGGGATTTTCCATTCAAGCTCAGATTGAGAAGAAGACAGAAATACTAACATTACACCAATAAGGTGTTACACTGCAAAATAAAAGATATAAAAAGTGAAAACATGGAACATACAGGTATTTCAAAAGAAGGTGAAACCCTGAGTTCCTACAGTAAGATTGTACAGGGAGCATCTTTCTCTGTGGTCACTTCTTTTCATCTCACAAACCGCAGCTACACCGCGCTGCCCTTGGATGTGCATGCTTATGTTTGTGAGTCTGTGTATCAGTGTCATGTTTCCGGACGCTTATCTTGCTGCTGTGGTTCACTTGAGGAGACTCTGAAGCATGGCGGTGGCGTATGTGGGGCGGGCCTGCTTGTTCTCGATGGCTTTCTTGAGGTACTGGATTCCATCGCAGCGTTCCCAGATTTCTTCAAACTGCCTGGGCAGGATCTCCGCCCCCCTCTTCCTGGTCAGACCAGTCTCCTCCAGGCTCAGTTCACACATCTCCATGTCGTCTTTCCCTGAGTGGTGAACAATAAGGACAGAGGTTTACAAAAAATGACGCGTACTTGTGCACAAGTATCTTTAGTGAGTCATCCACTTTACTGTACATTTACTCACCTAACTCCTGTATATACAGCATATCAAGTAGATTTTGCTGCTTTGATTTATGTATATTCGTAAATGAATGGATATCTTTGGTTATTGGAATGTTTGTGAGGTAAAACAGTATTTGGAAAAAAAAATCTATATTTGTTTGAAAAGCTCTTAACTCTGTTCCAAACTAAACTGAGCTCCGTGATCTGAGGTGAGGTCACAAATAAAGACAGCTTTTAATTGATCTCAAGCCAAAAAGGTCAAGAACTACTGGACTAAAAGATGAACTACATAATTTAAGGAATAAAATACATTTTAAATCAACAATAAAAAATAATAAGTTGCAATGCACAAGCAGGATTTTCTAGAGATGCTCTCTCCGTTATGATTTGACAAAAAGCAAAAAGCTGCCGACTCACCTGCAACCAGCACAATAGGTCGTTTGTCTGGGTGAAGCTCCATCTGTCTGGCTATCCAGGGCCCATCGAAGTGGGCGTACCACCAGCCCTTCTTTTTATTCTGCGGGTCTTTGTACTGGTCTGCCGGCCGGATGAAAGGAATGCGGAAATATCGCTGCTGGCGGTTCATGGCCACTTCCTGATGCTGGGCCGTCATCGGAGGAGCTGGGTTTTGTTCAGCTGCAGTGGGTTTGTGAACATTGAGATATTGTATTAGATTTTTGTTTATCTCCAGAGTGTCATTGGGTCTTAAATAACCATATAACACCCACACAGCACAGGCTGAGCGGGACAGGAAACAAAGCTTTCAAAACATACAAAATCAAAAAAGACCCAAGAAATGTCCAAATACAGTAAAGATCACATGGAAAGGCCAGGTAAAGCAGCTTTGAGCCTGTTATGAAATGGACTTGATAAGACCCCTGCTGCATCCGCAGAGGCCAAGGAGGACCCAAGTTTAAGGCAAACAAAGCACAGCTTTCAGGAGCTATCATATCAAAAGAGAAAGGCGAATAAATATAGTGAAAGTCAAAGCAACAGTGGATCTAATGTCTCCATTCCCCCATCAAACTTAATATTTGTTTTTGAGATGAAGCGAAATGCAGAGCAGCGGTAATCTTTGAAGCAGCTGAATAACATTTGTGTGTGTTTGTGGCACAGGCCATGCTTTGGTTGAGTCGAGAATGAAATGAGCAAAGCAGTGAGCTGTCATACCAGCAGCTACTGAACCCGACGAGGCATGGCTGGCAGTTACTTGCTAATTAGAACAAATATTTCTGACGGAGCCAGACAGAAGGCAGCTGCACTTTCAGGCCTTGGCGTCTCGTCGGCTAATTGAATGTTAGGAAACACAGGCAGGTTATTCGTGTGCAGGTCATTATTTCCTGCTAATGACAGCGAGAGGCACAAGTGGAGAAACACTTGTCACCTGTGACTTAATGTTTCGGAGGTGGGGTGTGCATGGTATGTGTATGCGCTGTGTTGGTGAATGAATACACCGATTTGTGTTCATATCCACATGTGATGCATTAAATTAAAGTAATTTAGATCAAAAGAATGATGGCGGGAATAATCTCTCCACTCACCGTAGTCAGTGACAGATTTAGGAGCCCTCTGATCACTCCCGTCATCGGTACGTTTCTTGTTCTTGGACTTCCATGCGTGATAGACCTTCAGACGGCGGTGGAACTCCTCTCTGCAGGCCGCCAGCAGATCAATGTCTGTCCACACACCATGACAACAGTGAGTATTTAAATAATTGCAACGAGCAAAGACTGATAGAACATACAGGTATGACTTCCATCCCAAGTATTCACCTCCATGCTATGTTGACTGGTCTCGAACACTGGTCTCTGTCACTTGTTTTTCAAGATTAAGTATAATTTGATATTAAGGAGTTTGAAATTAACAATGCATGTGCATTATATTATTTTTACGTGACATGTTGAAGGAGCACTTGATTTAGCATTGAACTTGAAGATGAAAAAAAGAATGCTCCAGACCCTGGATCCTATATTTCTTATAATGCTGGATTGCACTTTTAATTTGTCCCTTAAATAATCTATATTCTTTGAAACCCCACACATCCAGTTTGTGATGCAGGCTTTCTAGAATTATGAGTAGTACTGCTTGTGACAAGTAAACTGATCTTTATCTAACATAGTTTATAATTTTACCCTTTCAACAAAAAGTGCACTAATGTCTAAGATCAGATGGAGTCTCACAACACTACAGTTAATTCCAGTCTTTATGCTAAGCTAAGCTAACCACCTGCTGGCTGTAGCTTTATATTGATTTCTGGAAAGAGACATGTTGAGTTTTTTTAATGTATTTTTTTGGCGCTTTGAGCACCATTATATATGGTGTCATATAGTCCCTTTATATCGGAGAGAATGAAGACATGTCCAACACTCGGCAACTCACACCAAAACAATCCAGATTGATAAATAGCACAGGTAAGAGAAAACAAATGTGTATTTTTGATGTTAGGGTGAGCTGTCCCTTTAAGCTCAAAATATAACACAGTATAATGAGAAGTTTAGGGGCTCGCACTGTGTTATCTTCCCTATAAGGCAATGGAAATAAACCATTTGCAGCATACAGTTATTTTAGTGGACATAAGGCTAAAATTAGTTAGACTTCAAACACAGCTTTTTGATATCACCACCAGTACCACCAAAGCAAATGGGTTCCACAAATTAGCCAGATGTCCTTGGAATCCCACATCAGAGTCCCTAACACAGATCAGAGTACTGTATACAGTGGCAATTATAAAGGCATCGACAAGTGTAAAGG